GGAATGAAATATTCTTCTCAGGAGAATTTTCTCCTGTTTTCAGCCTGACTATGAAAGTTACTGTTGGCTATTTGTGGAGTACTCAAGCTGTAGGATATTAGCACATGAGTGTCTTTGTTCATCAGTGCTACATTATGAGATCTTACTCCTAGTTATAAAGGATAATGTGCAAAATATTAGCAAGCTGTCCACTTATTTTGTGGTGAAGTATTTTGTAACTTAAACTCGCTTTAATTTGGAATCCTAATTCTATACATTCACCTGTGTGATACATACTGGCGATTTTCTGAGACAGTCTGTTTCTCAATTGGTGTTTGGAGAGTCACTAAATCCAGGTGACTGTTGGTAATTCTCAGATAATAGATAGCTAGATTGCAGGCAATTACTTAAAGGCTGTGACATAATGACGGCAAATGATCATCTCGTAAACTCCAGGTGCAAATCTCAAAACTGGTCACGCACATTAGCGGAAACCTGGCATTTCATTCCTATCTTAAACTCACTCCTGGATATTTTATTTATGCAAAACAAATATTAAGAATTAATCGTCATCTTCTGTTTTTGAACACTGACATATTTGCATTGATTTAGCATACCAAATTAAAGGTAGCAGAATAACTTGGAAATTAGGTTGACAATCCAGCCCTGCAACCTTACTGAAGAAAAAAGGTGTGGAATCTTGCACCATATTCCCAGGAAGCCATGTCACTCCAGCCCAGCTTCATGCCAACTGGGAACAGAGCCATTTATGCACCAACTAGGAATATTTCAAACATCACTTTGAATGTTTTTAGTATCAGAGCAGAGAGCAACAATGCTGCATTGCAATCCCTGTAAACACCAATATCCTGAAGAGAAAGGAATCCCTAAACAATATAGTCAGAGCCAAGCTTCTGGCACTGCAAGTCAGCAGTTCATCATCTGGTCCTCTGATGCAAACCCTTCTCAGCACTTTAGAATATTTGAACTACTTCTAACATTCAGACTGTTTTGGTTCAGATATTGACTCACCACAAACTTCAAACGTTCTATTTTCTTCTCACTGCCAGACAGAAACTGGCCTTTTTGTAGAGGGCTTTCTTTGTCTCTTCTCACATGGATTGTTATATCACTGACTCCTCTTGCAACACAATGGACTGAAAACGCAAAAGCACCCATCTAACTTTGCTTAACCTTTCTTCAGCTTCCATCCCATTGGCAACCTCGGCCAGACTCATAAATTCTCAAAAATCTAATGAATTCATAATCAGGCATTCCAATTGCACTCTTTCCAGACACAGTTTCACTTCCCTATACTCCATTGACCATCCTGTGACAGATTGAATCAGGAATGTACTTGTTCAACTCCATTTTCTCCTCTCTGAAAGAAGATCACAGGTAAATTCCATCCAATCAGATTATGGTCCAGTGTCAGTTCTCAGCAGTTTGTATTCCCCACTGGATCTGGCAAAGTAAGTTGTTCAGAGTAGAGAATTCTTCAAAGATATTATCAGGAGATACCAACATCCCACATCATCCCTCTCATTATCAATGATGCACGCTGCTACTGATCTGAAAGATTTATAACACATGGCATCTAGAAGAGATCAGCATTGGAATCTCGAAAGGTAAATGCTGGGTTGCCTTGCTACTTGCAAGAGTTTATGGAAATATGATAAATGAATCATCTGACATTTGCAGTAGATGTGATGCTTATTACATGTAGTGTCAAAACAAATTTTTATTTTACAGAAAACAAATTACAATTTTTTATTCACCTTCTCCTTCCCCAACCTGCCCAACAAAATAAAATCTCTGAAAATAAAATACAATGGATGCCAGAATTCTGAACAGCTCTCTTGAGAAAGAAACAGAGTGAGCAGTTTAAATCAATTACCTCTTTTTGGGAAATAAAAAAGTCTCCACTCATTATTATGAAGGAATTAAAACAGAAATTGCTGGTAAAACTCAGCAGCTCTGGCTGCCCATTCTGAAGAACAGTCACTGGGCCTGAAACGTTAGCTTTGATTTTTCACCATAGATGCTGCCAAACCTGCTGCATTTTCCCAGCAACTTCTGTTTTTGTTCCTGATTTCCAGGATCCGTAGTTCTTTGGGTTTTTTGTTTATTATAATGAAGGATTTTTTGTATTTTTGCGGTGCAGTGTGTGAGCCAAAATTATCCCCTAATCCAATGAGAAAAAATGTTGCTCATGAAATTAAATTACCTCCTTTGAATATTGTGTAGTAAAATTGAAAACATAGGAAACAACATTTGGTAATTTGTTGGCCCTCACTGCCTTATTTTGTGTTTAAAGTCAATACTGCTACCTGCTCGTTGAGCATCTTGGGCTGTGGGTGTCTGTATGTACACTGAGGCTACATGCCCCTTTTCCATAAGTAAGGTTCTTCAAGTCCTTATGTACTTTAACATTCTTTCATTTACATAGTAGGTTCTGGAATACGGTTCTCTAGTATCGTGTCTAAGGCCTCACTCTTCACATACTCATTTTTGACTGGTCTCTTTGTCTTTCTGATGTCAGAATCATGTGTTTAATTACATAATCATGATTTACATGTATCTTATTCTATCATATTGCTGCCTTGATTTTTTCCAGAACAAAGAACAGAGATAAAGCATTATTTGCGTAATCTTGTTCCTATAAGTCCCTAGTCTAGCATTTCTTAACCAAGATATGAAGTAGAGATTAAATTTGCCAGCAATATTATGCTTCCTGCAGAGTCTAGCCAAGTGCTAGGGTAATACCTGCTTGCCAAACAGGCATTTATGAAAAAGATGGAACTGGGCATCTGTTTGCTTTCCTTCCTCTCTTTGTGCACAGGATAATGGTGGTTGGGTGAGAGTTGGTAGGTTGGGATTCTGCCCAGTCCTTCAATGATATCAGAAACAATGATAGTAGGTGTATCTACATTTTCGTTTTGACAGGGATGATTTTGAAACTTATTCAGGTGACCCACAATAAAATATTCTCAGGCCTTGCTGGCTAAGCATACTGATACTTGTCAACTTTTGAAAAAAATGTCTTCAATTTGACTTCCTTTCAATTCTTTTTCTCATTTTGTTCCTCTTTTCTTCAACATCTTTCCTTCAATAACTGCAGTTAGTCCGTCATTCATTTCTCAACCATTGCACTGGAATATTTGATTTGCAGATTCAGTCCCTGATTTTTAACAAACTATAATGTGAAAATAACGTTTTAAAAAAGGGTGTGGTTTGATCCAGTTTCAAAAAGCTGTACAGCAAGATATTGTTACCCTGTTGTTGATTATAGAAGTTATCACTGTTTTTACAGAATTCTTGTGTTTTATCTGTCTCAGCCCTCAGACATAACATCCTGGACTGGTCAGCAGATGAACAGTGAAGGTTTCTCAGGCCAGATTGTTGGTGGAGAAATCTGATTCTAATTTTTAAAAAAATTCAAAAATGAAAACCAATAAAACTGGCAAATGAGATAGTGATCCAGCTCGTCTTGTAAACTTGAAAGTGAAGGTCCATTACAACCAGAGCATTCATTTCCAAGTATTATCCCTATTTTGATACTGTTTCCCCTCTGAGAAAAAGTAGTAAGACAGGATAAACCATTTGATTTTGATACAGAATTCTATTCATATCAGTTTAAAGCTGTTGTTTGTTGGAAGTTAAAATTCACTCTTCTACATGTTATGATGTACTTTTAGATATAGCATAAGTTTACAAATACGAAGACACTGAATAAGCAGAGTAGCGACACAATTGGTCACTGACAACATCCGACAGGATGTTATTAATAGGTCTGCCTCAGCTTCTTTCTCGATAACATGCCAGCTCCCATGTGTACAAAAATGCAAAACACATAGGAACAGGAGTAGGCCATTCAACCCCTCACACCTGTTCTGCCATTCAATGAGATCATGGCTGATCTGTGGCCTAACTCTATATACCTGCCTTTGGCCCATATCCCTTAATATCTTTGCTTAACAGAAAATCATCTATCTCAGACTTATACCTAACAATTGATCTAAAGGCAACTGCTGTGTGTAGAAGAAAGTTCCAAATTTCTAGCACCCTTTGTGTGTAGAAGTGCTTCCTAACATCTCTCGTGAATTGCCTGGCCCTAATTTTTAGACTATCCCCCTAATTCTTGTATCCCCACCAGTGGATATCTTTATTTTTATCTACCCTTATCCTGTTAATATCTTGAAGACAAAAGTAAAATACAGAATATGCTGGTGATTTGAAATTAAAACAATAAGTGCTGGTAAAACTAAACAGGTCTGGCAGCATCTACGGAAAGAAAAAATAGAATTAACATTTTGAGAGCAATGCAAAACTTCTTCAGAATTGAACAATGTCTTTTCAGTACCAACCTCCACCGCTTGTGAACTCAGTATCTCAAGAGTCAATCCAATCAGGAGAGTGGGGGACAAAGCTGAGAATTTAACTAATTCTAAGGCCCACTATATTCACATTCTTATTAAAAATTATTGGTTTATATAAGCTTTGAGTAGCTAATAGGCACCTTAATTTCCACTCTGATCTGTGTAAAATAGTGGTGTTTCCTGTGCTGGATGATTCACTTTGCACCTTTTAAATGTATTCCTAGTGTACTGTGCATGTAGTACTTTTGTACAAAGAATTTATTCAGCATTATACATGTTTCTTCTTTGTTGTTTGGCATCGTGTATAACAGCACTTCCAGTTTAAGCCAATTAAAGTCATTCTCACGCAGTAAAACTGAGGATCTTGTCTCCAGAAGCTATAAGGAACTGACAATCCTCATTATTTTTAATAAAAACTGATATATGATATCGACTGTGCAAGTATGAAGGTCAATATTTCCTGTTCACGTTATGCAATAATCTTTCGTTCTTTGGTTATGTATCAAGCTTTAGAGAAAAGTAGGAAATGCCTTTAACTGTGAATGACAACAGTCTGCGATTTGACTATTATTGGCTCGTTGCATCTCCATCTGCTGTCTAATAACATAAAAATCAATTACTTTGCCTTTTTTTCTCCAACAGTGCATGTTGATTGGCCTGTCACGGGACCTCAGAGGGATTGCCTTTGCTTTGAATACAAAAGCCAGCTACACCATGCTGTTCAACTGGCTGTATCCTTGCAACAGTGTCACAGTGCCAGCGTTGTACAAAGTGAGCCATTAGCTGAATGCTCTTGTGCTGTGGGGAAGGAGGAAACTGTATTAGCTGGGGTATTCTACAGTTCAGCTAGCAGCAGGTCTCCCCTCCTCCATCTACCCTGTAGCCCCAGGCCCTGTTGACCTCTTCTGTGATCCATGCCTTTGTAGCCTAATTGTACCAGAACAATGTTTTGGGAGGGGAGAGCAGATGTAGTCTGTAAGGGATGCAGTAAAAAAGAAAATGATGTGTGCACATTGTTTTCCTTTAAAATATATATAAATTGTACTTTTGAAACATTGGTGTATTGCCAAAATTAGCTCTTCCATCTGGAACTTTTTTTTAAAATTTGGTAAGAGTGTGCATGGAGCTGTAGCAGGAAGTCAGCAGTTTTCTTTGTGAGTGACAGTGAGTTACCCCAAAGCATTTTCCGCAGTAGAGAGTCACATTATCCCACATGAAACCTATTAATTCCTGTCCTTCAAAATAGCCGGTTCTTCAAAGCTTGAAGTCTAGGATTGACTGGGTGATCTCATCGTCATTTATAGTTCATACAAGTGCTCTAGAGATTGCATTTATCAGTATCTTAACTAATGACCCAAGAAAAGCAAAGTATTGGAGATGGGATGTATGCACCTTTGCTTGTTTTTACCAGCAGATGGCAATACTGAGTGTAGTTAAACCTGTTTCAGAATTGAGGTAAAAAGTGAAAACATGGTACCAGATTTTTATCTGCAGATATTCTTAAACTGACTTCTGACTATCAGAGTGACATGATGGATCCAAACTCGCCATTTAATTCAGGCCTTTGGTTTATTCATCAAATAGCATAACAACTACAGTTCTACTTCAGAGATAGTAAGAACTGCCAATGCTGGAGTCAGAGATAACACAGTGTGGAGCTGGAGGAACACAGCAGGCCATGCAGCGTCAGAGGAGCAGGAAAATTTCAGGTCGGGACCCTTCTTCAGAAATGAAGATTCAGAAGTGTGCTCCTCCAGCTCCACACTGTGTTATCTACAGTTGTAAGTCATGTAGTTTTATTACTCCAACATTGACACTACAGAACACTTAACAACAAAATAAATTGACCACTTCAGCTATTCTCAGATTGTTGCCTCCATACTTCTTCCAACTTAACTTGCTGTAATTATGTTAATTTAAATTTAATACAAGTGGGACAATCTATACCTGAACCAGAATGAGACCAACATTCTTATGGGTGGGTTGGCTAGTGCTGTGGGAAGGAATTTAAACTAGTTTGGCAGGAAAAGGAGACAGACAGTGTTAGTATGAAAGGGGTATCGAATATTTTATTAAAGGAACCAAGGCAGAGGAAGTTCAGCCAAAGAATAGAGTCATACAGCATGGAAAATTAGGAATAACACAGTGTGGAGCTAGAGGAGCAAAACGGGCCAGGCAGCATCAGAGGAGCTGGAAAGTTGATGTTTCAGGTTGGAACCCTTCTTCAGAAGTCCCTTCAGAAGGACCCTTCTTTCTGAAGAAGGGTCCTGACCCAAATTGTCAACTTTCCTGCTCCTCTGATGCTGCCTGGCCTGCTGTGTTCGTCCAGCTCCACACTGTGTTATCTCTAACTCCAGCATCGGCTGTTCTTACTATCATGGAAAATTAGGATCTGCATTACGGAAAAATGCCCTTTGGCCCATTGAGCCTGTGCCAGTCTAAAATAACCACTTAACTATACTAATCCCATTTTCCAGCACTTGGGGAAAAGGATAACGGGGAACAGTAGGGTCCTTTAGGGGCCAAGGGGCAATATGTGAGCAAGATGCAAGCCGGAGGACATGAGGCAGCATGGTGACTCAGTGGTTAGCACTGCTGCCTCACAGCACCAGGGACCAGTGTTTGATTACACATTTGGGTGACTATCTGTGTAGAATTTGCATATGTACTCCATTCTGTGTGGGTTTCCTCCCACAGTCCAAAGATGTGCAGGTTAGGTGGGTAGCCATGGGAAATGCAGGATTACAGGGATACAGTTAGAGGGGTTTGTCCGGGTGGAATGCTCTTCGGAGGGTCAGGTGGACTCAGTGAGCTGAATAGCCTGCTTCCACACTGTGGGGATTCTATGACATTGGACAGGTGTAAAACAAGTATTTCACATCTATCTTCACTTTGGAGAAGGAAGATGTAGGTACAGAATTCGGAAAGAGGGAGTGTGAGGTTCTTGAACAGTTCAAACAAGGAGTGAGGAGGAATTACTGGTTTTGGCAGGCTTTAAAGAGGAGAAATCTGCAGGCCCAGAGGAGACATATCCCAAGCTGCTTTTGGAGACAAGGGAGGAAATTACAGGGGCTGTGATCCAATTTTTTAACTCTGGCCACAGGAGAGATGCTAGAGGACTGGAACACAGCTAATGTGGCTCCACTTTTCAAGAAGATAGTAGGGATAGACTAGGGACTTATATACAAGTGAATTGCACATTAGCAACAGGGAAACTATTGGAGAAGATTCTGAAAGACAGAATTAATCTCTACTTAGAGAAGCAAGGTTTAATCAGGCATAGATAGTATGGCTTTGTCAGAGGGAGGTCAAGACTTACGAATTTCAATCTTTCAGGGAGGTGACCAGTGTGTTGATGAGGGCAGTGCAGTCGATGTAGTTTATATGGATTTCAGCAAGGCCTTTGACAAGATCCCATGTGGGAGACCGACAAAGATGGTAAAAGCACAAGGAATCCAGGGTAATCTAGCAAGTTGTGCCCAAAACCAGCTGAGTGATGGGAGACAGAGAATGGTGGTAAAAGGCCGGTACAAAACCGGAAACAAGATTGCCCTCCATAACAGACTGGACCGTATAAATTCAGAGCAGGACAGAACAACAGTGCTTCAGCGGAGGCTATGCCGCACTGACAATGTCACCTGGAAGGGAGCCAAAATGTTTGCATGAAAATCAGTTAGCTCGGTGAACCAACCAACAACTACAATTGATTTTGGCCTTTTCTTTTTTTAAACAGTGACCCATTGTTTTAAGGCAATATATGAATTTTTGGTGCAAGATTACTGAGTGTATGTAGTCCTTTGCCATATCATGACTTCATAGAATTGTAGAGCAACGTTTTCCAGAAAAGTGCCAGTGCTGTTTCTCAACTTTAGATATCATTAGTCGAGGAGGTACTCAGTTGCTTGTCCTATTTTCACTGCTGTTATCAGCTCACACTTTCAGTAACTTTGTGGGAAAACATTTCTGAGCTGAAGACTGCAGAGGCATGAATAACTAACTATCATTACCATTAAATGCGTAGCCGCATCATGTTCTGCCTCAGTATATCATGAATCAAGTCAGAACAATGGACTGTAATTTGCTGTGGCAAGTCTTACAGATATGAGCACATGCACACAATACAAATCTCATTGATAATGTTCCTAATGAGCCAAATAATATATCACTGATATCTGAATTGTGATCGGAAATAACTGTGACACTTACAGAAAGTGTGCACCATATACAAACATTCACAATAATAATAGAATGTCAGTATAATAAATTTTAAAAAACCATATCCCTGTTGGAAGTTACCCATTTACAAGTATACTTCAGTAAAAGAGCTACTTAGGCAGCTCCAACTTCAGCTACATATCCAAGATTTGATTGTGCACAGGTTGAAGTTTGGTCAATGGCCCAAAGATTCTTGTCAAAATAGTAGAGATTTTTTTGTTTTGTTTATGGAATATGGACACCACTAGTTAAGCCAACATTTATTGCTCAACCTTAATCGCTCTAGACTAGGTGAAGGCGAGCCACCACCTTGAACCGTTGCAGTTCTTGCTGTGTGGGTACACCCACAGTGTTGTTAGGAAGTGATTTGCAGGACTTTGACCCATTGAAGGAACATTAATAAAGCTCCAAGTCAGGATGATATATATAGCTTGGAAGGTAACTTGGAGCTAAAGGTGCTCCTATGTATCAACTTCCCTTGATCTTCTGCATGTAGAGGTTACAGGTTTGGAAGGTGCTGTTGAAGTAGCCTTGTTGAGTTGGAGACTGATGATATCCACCCATAAATTTTTCAAAATGTTATCATAACTGAAGGCAAGAGTTTGATGCATGATTAAGCCCAAAAATTCAAAACTTCATATAAGAACCATGAGATGTAGGAGCAGAAGTAGGCTATTCAGTCCATCAAGTCTGCTCTGCTATTCAGTGAGATCATGGCTGATCTGATAATCCTCAACTTCACTTTCCTGACTTTTTGCTCTAACTCTTGATTTCCTTCCTGATTAAAAATTTGCCTAATTCAGCCTTAAATATACTTAATAATCCAGCCTCGAAAGCCCTCTCTGATAAAGAATTCCACAGATTCCCTACCCTCTAAAAGAAGAAACTCCTTCTTGTTTCTGTATTACATATACAACCCTTTATTCAGAGAGTGTGTCCTTCTGATCCTAGACCCTCCCACAAGAGAAAACAACCTCTCTGCATTTGCCGTGTCAAGTCCCCAAAGAATCTTGTATAAAGGTTGACTCTCATTCTTCTAAATTCCAACGAGTGCTCATCCTCTGTTCATCAAACAGTTCCTCCATACCTGGGAACAACCCAGTGAACCTTCTTTGGCACGTCTCCAATCTTTCCATAGATTAGGGGCCCAAACTATTCACAATATTTCAGTTGTGACCTAACTATTGTCTTATGTAGTTTTAGCAAACTCTCCCTATTTTACTGCTCCAATACCTTTGAAATAAAAGCTAACATTCCATCCGATGCAGGTACGATGGGCGAAATATTCTCCATCTTAATGGTAATAATGTTGTGATTCCGTGATTTGCCGTACCTATTTCTGCTGAACTTGTATGCTAGCTTTTTGTGATTCATGCAGAAGGACTTCCAAAACTCTGTGCTCTGGAGCTTTCTGCAGTCTTTCACCATTTAAATGATATTCAGCTCCAGTGTTCTTCCTGTCACATATTGCGGCTGTACAAAACATTGGTGACACCACTTTTAGAATACTGCATAC